AGATACCAAAATACCCCACACCATGCTCTTGGACAGATATTCAACCAAACCAGGCGTCTCAGAATCGCCTTTTGGAAGAGAAACCACCACTTCTCTGGTTTTTGTAGGATGAAGCACCTAAGCACCTGATCAATTCCACGCTTCACTGGACCCCCCAGCCGCGGCTTGCCGTGGCCAACCCACACAGACCCCCCCGGGCGCCTCGCGCCGGCGTTTGCTGGCGCGCTCGTCCTCCATGGAGGAGACCGTGGGGCGGGGACACCGACAGGGACCTCGTAGTGGTGGATGATCACTCCCAGGTGCGGACATTGGAAGTTCTGGGGTAAGAAACTGCAGGGAGAAATGTGTGGTTTCCAATGGGGGTGGCAGCCCTAAACTTGAATCCACAGAAATATGGTAGGTGAACATCCGAATGGACGATGCTCTTTTTGCAGTTGATCGTCTTGTTTTCTGGCACCTTTCGTCTGCGCAGCGGCCAAATCACCACTTTGAGGAGCTTCCCCTCCATGTCAACTGCGGGGTGAGCAGACGATTTCTGAAGCCTTCCCCTTCTTCCACTGAATGACGGTGTTTCTCTCGCTTTCAGCGATCCAGCGTAGATCTGGAATTCCAAGCGTGTCCCGAACATTCCCAAGGGTGCCAAGTCGCCTCGGGGGGCCAAGTCGTTGAACCCAAGATGTGCCTGTTCTGCCTGTTCTGGGCACCATGTTTTGTTCGGGGTCAAATTTGAAGGGCCCCACCGGCCCCACTGGCCAACCCGCGGTCTTGACTCAGCAGCATCTGGACCGGGGTTTTGGACCTGGTGTTGACTCGCATCACGTCCCTAAGAAAGCTTCTTCTTTGGAAGTGCATCATCCGCCACTGCTGGCGCCCTGCCTCATCCTCGCGCCCCCGCCGGCGCTCCGGCCTCGAGGACACCCTTTCGGATTTGAAGGATGGTACAAGGAAATGGTGTAAGGTGTCGCATCGAAAGAATGCAAACAAAAAATAAACCAAAGTCAATTGGTTGTCTCAGAGGCCCCCCTAAGATCGTCTTCGTTGGACCTTCTGCCTGCTGTGAAGCTGGAAAGGGAACCAACATCCATAGAGATGTCCGTCCAAAAAGTGTCTTCCTAAGGAAAAGAATCAACAAAACGCCACCGCCCGGATTTCGCCCGGATTTCACGGTCAGTCGGACGTCGTCGACCAGTCGGGTCGTGGAAGGACGAAGGGAAGCGCTCGTTTTCTCGCTCGACTCGGCTCGTTCTCATGATCACACCACCGAACCCCAAGCACTGAGAGTTTCAAAAAGAAAGGAATCAGGAAGATGACTTTCATGATGGGGTCTGCAGTGTTATCATATATATATATATATATGTATATCATAATAGATCACAATTAATACCATATAATTAAAAAAAAACAGGGTCCACGTGGGCTGTGGCTCCAGAATGCAGGTGCCAAAGCCGGGGCCACTTGGACGAATGGGACCATTGTCCATCCTGCTGCTGAAACGCCTCTTCGATCCACACTAAACAACGACCTGGAGCACAGTGAACCTCAGCCGAAACCTCCCCCGCCACGCGCCACACCTTCGCCCATCCTCTCGATCCCAGTTCTCCTCGGACACCGAGGGCGTTGGAGCGAAGCTCCGTTCGGCTGGTGTCACCCGGCGGTGCCGGGAGCCGGTGGGGCACCAGAGGTGGGTGCGTTGGAGTTGGGGTTCGGGGCCTTCAAAAAGAACAGCTTTCGATCTGTTTCGATGCCTTTCCATGTCGGACAGGTCCCACATCTCACCCTCCTCGGCAAACCCGTCGGAAGGGCTTGGAAGGAATGCGGCAGAGGAATGGTGAATTTGAGGTCAAAGGAATGGTGGAAAAAGCGCATGGGCCGAGACATGAACGATATTTTGCGGGGCACTGCATGGCGTGGTGAAAAAGGAACTCAAGAATGCCAGGGTCTGGTAGAGTTGTGACAGCATGGTATGTCAAGAGTGTGAGAAGGATGACGACGCCATCGGAGCACCAGTGCTATGAATCGGCCCTAGAAGGAGACACGTGCAGCATCCCTTAGATCATCTTAGATGTATACATGGAGTAATCAATAGGCTTTGAGCCACCCAGACCTATTAACATCCTACCTAGAGTTTCCTGTCGGGGTGCGCTGTCTGGAGATCTGTAAAATAGTGTGGAGATATCCAGCCAGGCGAACCCGAACGGAAGCAGCTGGTATAAGCTAAACTCATCACATCTGAAAACTGGGATCTTTCGAGCTTCCTCTCAGCACCGAACCGCTCCCAGCACCAGGGCACCGGGCCGTCCGGTCGTTGCGCCGCTCCCGAGCCCGCTCGCCGCGGTCCCGCGAGCGATCCTCGCCCCCGCACGGAACGCTCGGTGGACCGCCCGTTCGGACAAGTCTTTATCGGGGGCCTGAGGTCCCTCATCTTCCGAAGACGCACTAGGCAAAAAGCATAGGCAAGACGCGACCAAGAGGCTAACCAGCAGCCCTCGACTCTACGAAAGGCATCCTTTGGAATCCTAGGGTTATATATAGTCGTTTTAAGTTGGAAAAAAAAACACCCATCTTTCTTAGGGGTGCTTGGTGTCCAACCCCGCGCTCCTTTGGATTCTCCGATCCCAGTCGTCTCGCGCGTTCGAGAGTCGCCCGGCTGTCGCGGTCTCTCCCGGCGACGGGACCCGCGATCTCTCGACCGACCCGTTGAAACGTTGAACCAGATCGGTCGAGCGATCGGTCAAGCGGAAGCCTCGTGGTCACCCCTTCGACCTGGTCGCGGGGCGCGGCGGAGTGGTCGCGGGCTGCCGAACGTGCAAGGCTGGGAGGGGTAGGAAACCGTGCCAGGCTGGAGGGGTCGATGTTTTTTCTCTCCCAGGAGGGCATCCAGGTCGCTTAACATGGACGCTGAAAATGGCACCGACTGAAAGACTGTGTTCCTCTACAAAGCCAGTGGTTCTCAACGTCCATGGGGTAAGCTTCAAAGCCCAGTGGAGTCTAAAGTCCAAAACCTGCAGCCGCAAAGAGCTTGCCTGCATACGAGGAATGATCCTACGCTAATTCCCAAGCATGTCATGTGGAAATCTGATGTTAAATGTTCCAAGACTGTCTCGTTTCTCACTGCGAGTTCGCAGCCGCATGGTGCAAGAAGTCGCTATCCATCTCTGAAGAGGGAAGCCCTCCCACTTGACAAATCGCCACCAATGGGTGATTGCATTCTCCCGTCCTCAAAGTCTCGCCAGGAGAATCTCCAACTTCTCCTGGCGAGACTTTGAGGATAGGAGAATGCAAATCACCCATTGGTGGCGATTTCAACAGGCAAGTGTACATACAGTAAGGTCTTGCTGTGCACATATTCCAATGCAAAGAGTCAGCTCAGCCATGATGAACTGGGCCCCCTTTTCGTCATAAATGCTTCCCTCAACGCGTCCCTCAAAATGTGACCAGTAGAAGTCTTCCAGGTTGCCACCAGGACACAGTTCCAGCACCAAGCAGGAGCAGTTCGTCGTTGTGATGCAGTACAGCCGAACCAAGTTCGGGTGATGGCCAACGTGCTGCATCAAAGCTACTTCGCGATCACCACTTCCGTTCCAGCGCGAGACTCTCTGGAGAGCCGCTTCAACCTTCGTTGTCTTGCTCCTGACTTTTCAGAACCTCTCAAAACCTCCCATCGAGGTGTCTTTTTGGCATTCACCTTCAGCTTGCAAGCCAGCGCTCAGATCGAAAGAGCAAGGACGCTCTCCCTTGAAGAGGGGATTTCCTCCATCTTGTACCCTGGAAGCAGAAAAACCAGCGAACCGATGGTTGACCATTGTGTTTCATTCTTTTACGCGTTCTGGAACGGATGCTTGACCATGTTTCCTTGGCCCCTTTCACTGTACTTGCTTTTCTGGGACCAAAAACAACACCGGCTGACTGGGCCCCTTCTTGGATCTGGGGCTGAGAGGGAAAACACCAATAGGAAAAAGAGGTAGAACTTAGGGATGGGATCCCGGGGTCTACCTCAACCCCCACGCACACCGAGTCCGGACGAAAGCCGCGGGCTTTGGGAACAAGGGCTTCACGGCGCGCGCCGAGCGCCCGCCGAGCGCCCGCACGCCGGTCGCGGTCGTCCTGGCGCGTTCGAGCAAGCGACCGGGACAGGCGGTCGAAAGCTGAGGCTCCAAGAAGAACCTCTGAGCTGTTTCTTCTGGGCTGTTTGCCCTAAGATCTTGAAGATCTTCAATGACCTTGCGAGTTTCACGAACTTGGCTGAGACATAGGGAGACCAAAAACAGCCATGACACGTCCCTTGGGTGATGTTTCATCAGAGCTGGGGAACTGGGGAGTCCTCTCTTGCAAATCTCTAGAATCTAGCAGCAATTCATCTTCATCGTCATCGTCATCAGCGTCATCAGAATCATCGTTTCCCAAACCTGATCAGATTCTTCACATACTCTCCCATTGCAGTCTGTGCTTTCCCTCCCGGTCATCCGTCAGTCCCCAGTCTCTGGGCGGTCCTTGTCCCCGGGCCTGGGCACAACGACAGAGCGCGGTGTCCCCCCCCACGGTGGGTGTGGCGGTTTCTACTCGCACCGACCCCACCTGGACACCAGACTGGTGGGGTCACAGATCACAAGTCTCCATCCGGAGTTGTCTTGAGAACAAACATCCGCTTCACCCAGAACAAGCAGGGCCCAGGAGCCAGAACAGGACTTCGCTGCAAAACTCGTCCAAACTCGGTCATGACTTTCCCAAGAATTCGTTGCAAAATCCACAGTCACAGTGCGAAAAGAGTCCGACGTGCGAACATATTTTTAAAAAAAGGCTCGCCTACTCCTTCCCAGCTCTCCTGGTTGGTTCGGGGAGGTGTTATTGTGGCCCCGTCCACCTTCCGCGTTTCGGCGGCTGGTCCATCCTTGTCCACAGAAAACGCGACTCTTTTCACCGCTCAAAAAAGGATCGTCAGATCTGGCCATTGGGTGCAAGCGATGTGATTTTTCGCCTGCCAAGGTATAAAACATGGCGCGTGCGTGTCGTCTAGACGACACGCACGGCCTGACTCGTGAAGGATGCCAGCCTGGTGAACAGCCGTGCGTCCCACACAAGTCTCGGCCCCTTTTCAAATGGTGCCATCTGCAGGACCATTTTTCCTTAGAGAGATGATGGGTCGTCTTCAGAGATGTTGGGTCGTCTTCGTATGGAACCCACAATCCATTCCTAATGCGTCAGACCACTACATGTGGCATCAGGTAGATAGCAGGCTATCTAACCGCTACTTGCCTCCCCGATGTGTCTTTTTTCCCACCCCAGCATGAGCCTATCGTAGCAACTTCACCATGTCACTGAATCCCATGGCTGACTAAACTAAACATCAAACCAATGGAAGCTTCTCTAGGGCTACTGGCCACATCCCCCAGGCACCCACCCTGACCCACCGAACGGGGGTGACGGAGGGGGCGACTCGTGACCGCCCTCACAAACCCTAGGGTTTTGATCTGTTGCTTTCCCTCTGAGCCTCGAATCTGGCTGATAAAGAGACTCGGGGTCCAGTCTCATGAGACCCGATTCTGCGGGGGGGCTGAGGGGAACGACAGCCCAACAAATTACAACTGGAACCACCGGCGTTGTGGAGGAAACTGCTTGTGGAATATCATGTCATATATTAATATGTGTTTTTTAATATGGAATAGATGCTGCTCAGATTTGATGCTAAGTCATGCCACACGTCTGCGCCGGTCCATTTCTCCTTTTCCCCCTTCCACTGCTACCTCACAGAAACAAGTCCTCCTCTTCACCCTCTCATCTGAATTTAGATCATCACCAGCCAGGTGGCAATGGAGATGAGGACTTACGCTCAACCTCGAACAGGTTTCCTCGGGTTTCGGCATCGCCATGTGACACTGACCACTGCCTCATTCTGCGTTTTGCAAATCAGCTGCCGTCAAACCCCTCGTTTTTCTTTGATAGGTCACTGCCTTGGGGCCGACCGCGCGTTTACGATAGCTTCGTGGTGGAAGCAAACTGTTTGATCTTTTTGAGTCTATATCATCAAAAAAAGCATGTCTGCTTCTCCTTGCTTCGTGTGGTTCCGTCACTCCTCGTGACCTGATCGACCGCGTCCGAGACTTCCATCGCCCAAGCCACGTGTTCGCGGCCGCCACCTCTTGGACATAGTCCTGCGGCCGAAGCTGTGAGAGACTTCGCTCGGGAGACGTCGCACGGGAGCTACGCCACGACGTAAGACGAACCCAACTAAACCCACGGGGCAGCAGAAGACATGCCCAGTTGGAGCCCACCAGTCGCAAAACTTCTCTTTTTCGAATTTTTTTGAACTGGTCATCGGTTATCGTGCCAATGTTGACGGAAGGGTCCAATCACTGAGGAATAGCTGTGTGATAGAAAAGCTGCAACTTCTCCCTGAAAATTGACCGCTTTTGTCAGCTCAAGACTGAAGATGCTCCTGCACAAGTTCATCTGGGATCCATTTGCAGAGCACCCCCCCTCCACACAAACTTAGAAACCTCAAAAGTATATCTCAACGATGTTCCTCTCTTCCTCCACAACACCCCCCACACCCACTGAGGTGTCAATCACTTCGTGCGGAGGTCTCCGCGTTTGCTGAGGTCGCCAGCACCGCCCGTTCGCCCTCCGGTGCAACGCCCGCCGCTCGAACCTCCGCCCGCGTTCCGTTCCGCGCCACGCGGGGTCTCCTGCATCTCTTGGAAGAACGCCTCTCCCGCTTCTTTTCGGATCTCATTCCCCGCGTCCCGACCAATCTCCGTGGCCTCGGACCTCGACTCGGAGACTCGGGAGGACTCGGAGACTCGGGAGACTGTGCTTCACGTCGCGCTGGGAGTCCAACAAACACCACAGGTTCGGGTTAGATGGTAAAGTCCTGCTAGGGGCTGGTCCGGGCTGGTTGATCATGGAATCTGAAATGGAACCTGAAATATGCGTTCTCATCATCCTTTCTAAGTGAAAGCCAAAAGTCAAAAACAAATCTGCTGGTCGTGGCTCACATGAGGCTCCATCTCTTCCACCTGGTCTAGGCCTTCCAGGCACAAGGCGACCTTGTCAAAACCGAGGGACCCGGTTCTTTTTTAAAAATTTCACAGCATGGACGAGCTACAGGTCGTTTAAACCAGTCACTACCTCGCAAAATGTTGGGCTCCGGATTCCCTTCTTGTGCCCTTGGTGTATCCTCACCTGCTTGGACCTCCACTACACCTGAGACTGACCTGGGGAGCACCACGAGGCTGCTGAGACCTGCCTCCATCCAAGCGAGTAGATAGAAGATGGATATGATATGATCCAATCCAAAAACATGACCCATCAGTAGATAAATATAGATCTAGCAGTTTAGTAGTATGATTTAGTTGATAAATTTGATGTAATGTACACTCTTCATCTAATCAAGAGTCTACATTATATATCCAGTTTCCTATTCCTTTTCCTTATACATCCGCCCTGAACCCCGGCAGTCATCCGCCCTGCATCCCCAGCGGCACTTTCCCCGTGCGCTCAGTTCGGAAGATCTGTTTCCCGTCGGGGGAGGCCACCAGGCCCTTCAAATGCAACTCCCCATCGATGACCTTCGCTTGCCCTGCTCGGCTGGCGATGAGACGGGAGGCGAGGCGAGGCGGCCGGGCGGCGAGAACAACGGCAGATCCGGGGGATCTGCAGGTGTGGTGCATGTGTCCTGCGGATTGAAACAAAAGGATGCCATGCACGAGCAAGATGAAGAAGACACTGGTGGTTTCAAGTGCTGAAACAAAGCTCTTTGGGATCCCGCCTGTAGCCCCCCACCCCCCAAGAAAAGGATGTTCAAGCTTTTCGGTTTTCGTGTGCAAATATAGACACCATCTGTCAAAAACGCTTCACTCTGGGCTTTTCCCTCCACTGCCACACGTTCCTATCGCCCCACACCACCCGTCGCGCCTGCGATCGGCGTCTTGCAGTTCCCATCGAGCGCCGCCAGGAAGGCGCGCTCGCAGGTCACGGACTGGAACCGATCCACGGCCGCACCGGGCAAACGGTGGAAGACACGAGCGAAGACACGATGGTCGGTGATGGGGCCATGGCCATCTACGGAGAGAGAATCAGGTTTCTGTTCCTACGGACCTCATTCTGAAGAAGGGACCTCATTCTTGCGGATGGCTGATGTCTGTACTTCTGTCGAAAAATGTGTCCAACAGCTACCAGATGGTACACCTTTTCCTCCACCTGTGTCGCTGCCAGGTCGGTAGAGGGTGGGCACATCGACCTGCGAGTATCTCGGGCGGGGCCTGGAAGGTGTCATCATGGGACAAGGGCTTCAAGTAGTTCAAGACCCGCTCGTCATCAGACCGGCACTGGAAACTAATGGCACCTGTCCAGGGCGAGGAGGACGGTGCACAAAGGAGGACGAGGACGAGCCGGTTGGGCGGCGCTTGCTTGAGGCGAAGATCTCGACCCGAGCAACTGAAGGGGTGGTGGGCGTCTTATGCGGTCCTCCTCCCAAAAATGTCCAAACTCACAAGTTGGGGTGGGGGAAAGATGCATTTCGATCAACTTGGAGGAAGCAAGTCTTGAGCTAAAAAGGATCTAAATGGTGAACACGAGCAACCAACTCCACACGACTGTTGGGTGGGTCATGACTATGCAAAGAAAAGTGTTCAGAATCAAATGTCTGAAGCTAGCTTGACATGCAAATGAAGAGAAAATCTAATCAAACACTCTGTTTGTGTACACGATCCTGATCCTTCTTTGGACGTGCGACGTGCAAACCAACCACGCGCCTTGGGCGATGGCTGGGAGCATCTCGTCCCACTCCAGGACTTTGGTCGCATGTTCCTGGACGTTGGGTGCCACAACTCCAGAACTTCAGACGGAAAAAACCTCCCGAAACGAGGACATTGGACATTTGGACGATCTCCAAAGACCCAAGTGTTGGGGAAAAGGAAGTTGAATGGACATCTCAAAAAAGAAACGCCTTGGCTGTGCACCAGTCAGCCCTAAGTCTTCACTGCCTTCCACCACTCAAACAAATATGCAAAAAAACAAAACACGCGGTGTTCGCGGTGCAATGCTCTTCCGAAACAGTTCTCTTGTTCCTCGCGTTCAGCCTTTACGGTCTCGCGCGGAACACCAACGGCCCGGCGGACCGTCCTCCATGCTCATTCGCTTCAGGCCCGCATAGGCCAGGAAGGTGCCTTTCACATCTCCACCTTGGAGCTTGCGTAGCCTGGCGAGACGGAAGGGGGTGTTCGCGCTTCGCCCCAGCTCGCTGGCCCCTCATCCAAGCGAAGAAAGCAGGGATCCTTTTAGGATAAGCCGGAGAGCAACATCAACCCATATCCATGTCAAAGCCGCACCGACCGCGACCCCTCGAGATGTTTCTGGAACCGGGGGTGTAAGCGGGGTTTAAGCGCCTGGTCTGCACGTTGCCTCTGAAGTTCACACACTTCACGTTGGGATTCTTGCTGTAGATCTGCGCCTCTCAGCTGGCGAGCTTCGCAGCGGGCGACCAATTTCGCTGCGTCTCAAAGAATGCTGGGCGACGTTGTGCAGCCAGTCGTTTGCTGTAAAGCCCATCACAAGCGAACAGCTCAGAACCAAGAGAGGTTAAGTGACCTTATAAGACCATAATAGGTACCTATGCATGGTCTATAGTATAGAGTTCTTCAACCTCCGATAGAATTCCATGATCCCCAGACCATATAATTTATGTAGATATTCCAAAAATGAGAATCGTGAATTTGCAGAGCTCCAGCAGCGACCACTGAAACCTTCAATCAGCGCCCCCTCTCCGCTGCCTGCCGCCTAAGGGATGCAGTCCCGATCAAGCTGCCATCCTTAGTGCCCAGGTGACGGAAAAAAGACAGGTTCCAAAACAAGGAGACAAGTGCGAGCTGTTGCAACCCTAAGAAATAGATTGAATTGTCAATTCCTGTCGATCCATTTGAGGCATTCTTACACCCTCAGTTCAATCACAGACAAACCCGCTAAAGTGCACCCAAATGAAGCCACAACCCAAGCCGTACAAAAGATGGTCGTGAACCAAAGGGTGCAGGAACAACCGAAGAGGGTACAGGTGAAGCATGGTTTACCCAGTTTACCCCCTTTTTTGGAGTGTTTTTTTGCATTCCCTGCTTCTCTGAAAGTAGCAAAAAAACTTCGCGTAGTGGAAGCTCGAGAAGTGTTGAAAGCTTGTTCAAAGCAAGACTCATCATCCGCGAGCACGAACATGGATAAGCTCAACATGCTTTGCCTTCCCCCTGTTTTCTTCAATCCTCCATCTTAAGTTCTTCGTTCGCTTCAAGGCTGGGGCCAGGCCTTCACAAAAGCCCGCGATCCAACACGAATGCGCTTTCCGGAAAAGCCCCGGAGTCACATGGAGGGCCTGGGTGGTTTGCTTCGTCCCATCCAGGGGCTCGTGGGTGAGTGGATGTGACGGTCGGGGCACCGTAACCTCCTTCCTTCGTTCGTTCGGCACCCCGTCGAACGTGACTCCGTCGGCCAAAAAAACAAAACCAAGCCAAGACAGTTCTTCCAAATCTCCGGGAAGTCCTCGATGCACTTGATCTTCTCGGGATCTCCACTGATGAGCACGTCCCGGGTGTCCTGCCAGCGAACTCGGAAGATGCACCGCACCGGGAGGCGGTTCTTCTCCGATTCGAGCGGGGCGGAATGCGTTGGACTGGTGTGTGAAGGCCCCCCCCTTTCGTCTTCCAAGAACAGAAAGGATTCAATCTGAGGGGGTTCTCCCTCATCGATTCTAGTTCAGGGTCACTATTTATAAGGCAAGATTGTGGCAGTTCTCCACATGGGAAGCTCGGAACATTTGGAAACTGTGGACATGTTGGAAAGTTTGTTGCGGCGAATCTCTACGTTTGTGATACATGGCTTGTGCATGGTTTCAACCGAACCGCCCCAAAAAAGAAGAACATCCGTCGTCTCATCCTCCCAAACTCCCATCCTCCGCAGCCACCAGTCACCAGAAACACGCACATCACCAGTCACCCACAAAACAACCCGCAGAACTTCCTGTGGCCCAGCGTTGGCGCGTTCGCGCCCCAGTTCTGCGGGTCGCCCACGGGTCGCCCGCGCCTCGCGGGGGAGCATCGTGCACAGCTCGGTGTCCGGAATCAGCTCGGTGGGCACGTCCTGTCGCCGTGCCAAGCGGAAGCAGAGACCCCTTCAGGTGGAAAGGAAAAGAAGAATATCCAAAAAGAAAAGAAATCGGACTGGACGTCCCAAAGTTGTTTTCTTGGAGGATTCGGAATCTACGTAACTGCCACATAGCTGCTTTGCGGAGAATGGGTTGATCTATTGCGTCTCCACTGTGCTTCAAACTTGCATGACCATCTTGCGCCAGGTCATGCATGGTCGAACGATTCTGCTGGATTTCTCCACCGGATTCCACCATATCGCACGGTGTCTCGCTCGCACAACAAAAAGACGCGCTTGAACTCCTTGGTGGAGTGGACGCAAAAGTCCACCTTGGCCGGTGGAACTCTCATCGAAAAACAAGTCCAAAAGTGATCCACCGTTGATGCAAATGGAAAGGAGTTAACTTGGGTCTATCTGACTACCAGGGCCCAGTGGATGATGATGGTTCAGTTGCAGGCCTTTCCATCCCAAAGATACTGATGGTCTTGTTTACCGACTGTTGCAGGTCATAGGACAGACCCGAGAGGACTGACCCATGTCTGATCGACAGCGATGACCCAGGTCTGGTCATTCTGGTCCATCGCAGACCTGAAATCAACCCAGGTCTTACATAAGCGGATCTGAAATCTAAAACCCATAGCTTATCCATCATGTGAGTAACAAGGCAACCAGGCAACCATACCTCTCACGGGCTGAACTGGCCAGAACTGGCCAGTTCATCACGTGGCAATCAGAAACGGATTGGAGGCATAGAAATCACCGTCAAATCAGGACATGAAAAGCAGTCTTCTTTTGCTTTGTCAATGTTGTTTCATGGCACAATACATCTAAATACAGAGTGATTATCGATGATCATTCCGAATGAGGACCTAGAGAGGCAGGCAGCACCGCAATGGTGCGGGGACTGCCTCAAGCCACTCCCTGGCGATCCTTCCAGGGACTACCAGGTAGTCAGGGACGGCCTCCCGCTACCAATCAGCAAATCAGCCAGCACGCCCCCAGAGATGGCCGCTGTTTCAGCAAGGAGAGGGGTGGGGTGCGTTTCTGTAGGTATCCAAGGGGCATCTGGAGGGGGTATGGTGCAGGTGCAGGTGCAGATGCAGGGGGTGAAGCCTGGTGCCGTCTCAATGCTGACTGTTGATGAATAACCTTCGACCAGAATGGCATCTCCATACCAGGAGTTACAAAGGGTGGTTTTTTGTCCCTAAGTGAGTGGATAATGGACACCCCTATCCTCCAATCGGCATCCCCGTGTGACTCCTGGTATGGTGGGCTTTACTCATCAAGTGTCAACATGATCCTGTTGTTTCGATTTTGTTCGAGAACTACCTAAAGGTTTAGATCCACCTCCTCTTCCAAAGCCCCACAGGGTTTGTCCAAACATGTCCAACCTTCAAGCGCTGGGTCTCCCGCCTCCTTACTTGCCAGTGCCACATCCAGCTCTCGAGTGAAGAGCCCCTGACGGCGTTGCTCGAAGCCACGAGACTCCGCACCGCGAACGCGGTGGGGAGTTGGTCGCGTTTCGGGCGGGCGACACGTTGCACAGAACCTGGGTTTCGGCCTCGGGACGCCCGGGACATGGCCGGATTGGCCAAGCATATAGACCGCCCCAAGCTCGACTACGAGCCATCAGCCACTCCAAGTCCCACTTGAGCCATCTACCAGCACAGGTCCAAAGCCTGGAGGTACTACAAAGTCACTCCAAAAAACTGGCTACAGTGCAGAAAGCTCGCGCACTGCAAAACACCTGCACCAAACACATCACACATTATGGAACCTGCAAGTATCAACTTGCAAATATCAGCTGAACTATGCTGAACCCGCGTATCCCGCACCCACCCACCCACCCACCCACCTACCCACCCACCCACCAGTTCCCAACCCCTCCCTCACACCACCCTCATCACCCCAAATCCTCAGGGAGGGAGTTCGGAAACACCTTCGGAAAAATCCACCAAACAGCTCCACTCAAACCTCGTGTCCAGTTTCGAAAAAAAACACGAACTTCGCGCACTGCGGAGATCTCGCGCGTCGCAGCGCGCGCAATCTCCGCGGCGCGAGACGCACGGCGCGATCTACGCTTCGCCTTGCCACCGATCTCGGCCAGGGAGATCTCCAAGCGCTGATCGCCCGTGGTGGAGATGATGCGAATCTCCACCGCCTATCGACCGGTCCACCGCACAGGTCGGTTTTGGGGTGAAAAGGACCATTTCACCGGTGGAGGGGAGGAAGAGGATGGGCCAAGTTGGAAGGTTTTCCACTGAAGGACTTCGGAAGTGTGAAAAGCCACGGAATGTCTGGGTTTGGCCACTTTTTGGCCGGCACATCGCCCCTGCCCCTGCCCTAGGATCCCATTCCAGTGACCTAGTGGATCTTTCTTAAAATTCAATCACATCCTCACACCTTGAAGACTTGGGAACACCAACCTTGGATCACATTGAGTAAATGCAGGGATTGCACCTTCCTCCAAAGGAAAACCACTCCAACTACCTGGAGCCTCAGAAAACGGCTACGTAGCTGTTTTGTTAGGGTCATGTCCTAGTTTCTAGGGTACCTGAAGTTGGGTCCGTCCATGTTCCATTTTCAATTCACATCGAACTAATGGATCTCCCCATTCCAAGACACACCCAGCCAGCCGGGAAACCCCTGGCCGCTTTTCCAAGACCCCGCCTCGTCGTCAGCCAGCTCGGGGAAAGCCTGGAGAACGAAACGTCGAGGACAGAAAAACCTTGTAATAAAAACACAGAAGACGTGATGCTCTAAGAATGCTCCAGAGATGCTCCAGTGGCTGCGTACTCCTATGCTATGATTGTTGGAATGTAAATCAAGTTTAATCATAATCCTTTCAACTGGATTGAAGCTTGTTCTTCAGTCCAGGTCTTGCCCACAGCGCAAAACCTGCTGATGCCAACACTTGGACCCTCCAACAATGGCCACTCTAGCCGACACCTTTACTTTGCTTCACTCTTCTCCTTGACTCACTTTTGGTGGAGCTCCTCGCGCCTTCAGCCCCCAACCCATCCTCTCCCCATCCTCTCCCCATCCTCTCCCCATCCTCTCCCTCCCGCACCTCCCCTAGGCGTCTCTTGGCTTCGTAGGCCTGCGCCAGCGCCAAGGGTGAGCCACGGGTCCCCAGCGTCAGCACCGGCCCGGCCGCGCGCGCCGTCGCCGCTCCGCGCGACGACCGCTCTGCGCGGCGACCGCGGAGGGAGGAGGCGACGACGGCACCGGTCATCAAGGCGCAGCTGACCAAGGGAACTCCTGGAGGTGAAAACCGTTTCAGCATTCAGAGGGATTTGGATGCACCAAACTCACCACATTTGGTAAACATTTGCTGATTTGAATGCACTTCGAAAAAGAAATGTGACATGATGATTACATCACTCAATGCATCAACCGCTCTCCTCCAAGTGGTGCAGATGCCGCTGGTCTCCGGGCCTCCTGCACTGCTGCGCTGGTCCCGTGCGTTGGGCCCGCCCCGCGCGTGGCCACGAAGCCACGGTCCGGCACCAGGACCATGCCGGCAGCACCAGCGGCCGCCAGGGAGATGGCGCCGACAGGTCGGCGCGACGCGGTCGGCATGGTGTCGCCACCGGTGTCGAATTGGCCACGAGGGGTCAAAATCGGAGCCAAAGGTTCTGCGCAGACGGGGCACGCAACGTCGAAGGGGCAACGTCGAAGGGGCACAATAATGCAATTTATAATATATACTATAGAGAGTAAAGCCCGACTCAGCTTGGGGGAAGGTTCTTCATATTAACTTCATTTGACTTCAATGAGTTGATTGCGGTGACTCCAAAACCTCACACCAACATGGGTGCGCTTTTTTTTCACTAAACCGACTCTCGAAAAACCACCACTTCATCGTCCTTCTTGTGAAAAGGACCCGAAGTCCCAAAAATGACCACGTCCAACATCCAACCAACCACCCACAGACCCACAGATCCGGAGGTTCCGACTTCCGGTACACACTTGGAGTGATGTTGGACTTGGTGGCGATGCATCGGCCTGTTCGTGCTCAGTTCTGCATTCATCGACCCCTTGGGCCGAGGGTTCCGAGGGTGGCTGAGGTCGGCACAGCTCGGGTCTGGGCTTATCCAAGATGTCCTTCATCTTGCGCTGAAACTCCTCTTCCATTCTCTTTCCTGGGTTTCTTCTTTGTGAGCAGGCAGGACAAAAAGTGTCTGAAAACCCTCATCCACTTGCATGTGGTCTGCTCAGGTGGAGTCAGTGACTTGGATCAACAGGGTGCCCACAAATGCACAAGAAATGGATGCATGGCGGGTGCATATAGGAAGCTACCAGTAGCATCCGGTAGCCACAGGAACAGTAGCTGCCACCCTCTTCTGCGCTTTGATCATCTGAATCCAACACATTGACGACTGCGTATCGACCACCAAAAAGGCCAACCCGAAAGGCTGGGATTGTGCCCTGTCTTGTGGTTTCATCATGCTTGATGTAGCTGGGATTGTATGTGGTTTCATCATGTTCACCACCTCTTCACCCTCTTCAACGCTTCCCGCGTGTCGCGCGTTCCGCATGTCCCGTCGGCACGCGTTCCGCATGTGGGGCGTCCAAGAGGCTCTCATCGGCTCGCCTCTTCAGCTCTTCCACCTGCCGCCGCCTCGGGAGCGTGAGGGGTTCGTGAGGGGTTCGGGAGAGGTTGTTCTGGTTCCTGGTCCTCTTGGAGTCAGTTTTGATCTGCAAATTGGAGTATTGCAATGTGAACATGAGATGGAAGGGTAGAACATCAGTTTTGATCCAAATGTCCTTCCTACGCGGCCTCCGCCACTTCAGGTGGTCTTGTTGCAAAATGGGCCTCAAAAAGCTAAGGATCCCAGCTCCTCCTCCGCTTGCCGCTCCATCACCTCTTTCATGTCCTCTCCACAGCTCGGGTGTGGCTTCAAAACAGCTGAGCAAAAAGGACGTCCTAAGAGTCCGCACTCCTGGAAGAGGAGATCCTCCACCAGTCAGCAACTCAAGGGTTTTGGAAAGTTTTTAAAAAAAATGTCTGTGTTTGCATGTCGATGTTCTTCAGGATACACTTTCACTCACTTTATATACAGTAACATAGAAGTAGAAAATGCTCCCAAAAGGACGACTGTCCTTTCCTCTACAAACGGGTGGCGGAGTCCACTTCCATGTGATGTGTTCATCGGAGTGTATAATATGGGTGTGTGTGTGTATTTTAATATGTTTATATCTTGGGTCTGTCCTAATATCTGTAACAGTGGATGATGATGGTTGGGAAAGGCCTTGTTCAAAAATAGCAATAATTGTATAATTGTTTACTGACTATTACAGGTAAGAACGGACAAACCCCATTTATATATCTTTTTATAGGGGGACCTCCCAACCAATGGGTTCTGGTCTATTTTCTTCTTGCAGCGGGTCAAACGGGACCCATAGACCAACTCCTCCGGTACGAGCTTCGACCGACCATCGTGCTGCATCAATGCCGTGCTGCATCAATGCCGTGCTAGCAGGGAAAAACAAGGGTGGGGCGTGCCGCTGCGAGCGTCTTCATGCTCACCAGAATTGAACAGGAAACGTCTCGATGTTACTCTATCTCATGTAAAAGGAACGTACTTAAACAGTGTAACGTTCCGTTTCGTCTTCATGGCCTTCTCCGAACTCAAGAATCCCAATTGGAACGTCGAAACAGCCTCGACCTGACCGAAGCTCGGCGCGTTGCCACGTGGAAACGATCCTGAAGTTGCCTCACCATCCGCTGGGAGGGCACTTCCTGTCCAGCTGGTCAAGGAAGAGTAGGATCAAACAAAACAAAACAAATCATGATATTATACTATACTTATACTGGGATGGCAAGGGAAACCTACATGCAACATTTGAAACAGGCACGATGGTGGTGGCGGCGGTGGTGGTGGTGTGTAACCCTTCTAGCCACCAATCAACTGCACCAATGTTTCTGCTGTATCACAGCCCAATGTCAACTAACATTCAATGGACAATACATGCAAGAACATCAGCATCCCGGCCTCTTTTCTGTCAGACCGATCACGTCTGTCAGGCTCCCGATCACGTCTGTCAGGCTCCCGATCGCGTCTGTCAGGCTCCCGATCGCGTCTGTCAGGCTCCCGATCGCGTCTGTCAGGCTCCCGATCGCGTCTGTCAGGCTCCCGATCGCGTCTGTCAGGCTGCCGCCTGCAAGCAAACCAAAGATTTCGCAGGGATGGCCAGATTTCGTAGAAACCATGCGTTTCGGTCATGTTCCTTTTTGCTCGTGTGACGAGACGGCATGTTCCTTGGGTTTGATCTCCACCCACTGAAAGGGACGATCTCCATCCACACAATGACATCTTGTCTGCTCGGGTCCACAGCAGTCAAGTCACATACCCCGCCCTTCCAGTTCTCTTTCATGGCGAGCTATCCCCAGAATCTCTACTATAGGGTGTTTTTAAAAAGGGGAGACCACCATAGATCCCCTGGAAGGTTCGGAAAATGGATCCGGTCTACCCAGCCAGGGGGGCGATCGGGTGTCATACCCACATCAAAGTCACCTGGATACTGTGTCAGAGGCGTTCGTAATTCCCACTTGAGACCGGGAAACACGATTTCGTCCCAGAGTCACCAGGGATATGAAGACCGCAGTACCTAAACACTGTCCAGGGCTGTGTTTGCCAGCTGCGATTTGGTGCCAAGCCCTGTGCCACGCAAATGCGGTCGTATGTCCGCACGCTCCGTCGTATGTCCCGTGGCCGGGGTTGCGAGTGGCCGGGGTTGCCGCAACATGTGGTGTGAGGTTTGTCAACACTGCTGTGCGGACGAGGCTGTGTTAGGCTGTGTTGCATCAACGCTGCGTCAAGGTGTCGACCTTTGTAGGCCAGGTCGCTACATCACCTCAAGGGACAACTGAGCTCTTTCCCTGCAAGGGACAACCCACAGAAACACCCGCGGCTCCACGTCTCTCATCGTCTCTCGGCCAAGGCACGGCGGCTCCTCCCTTCGACTTGGAGGCGGAGGCGGCGCAGGCGCCGCCCGGGCGGGTGGCCTGAGGCGGGCGGGCAGTGGAAAGATGAGGGCCCAAGAAGAGAGCAGCTGCGGAGTTTGCAGAAGTTGGTGTGCATCCAAGTGAATGTCAAACACATCAATGTCCCAGAAACGTAAAAGGAACATCGGCATCTCATTGGGGCCATCCCCTGGCATGAGTGCCTGATTCTCAGAGGGGGGGGTAGTTCTTGTGTTAGCAATCTCCGCGGTCGCTCTCATCTGGGGCGTTTGCGGCTCATCCTCCTTCTGCCGCTGCTCTCGCAAGCGCTCCTGCCGCCTGCGATTGTACGCCTCAAGGGGACCAAGGAAAGGCACAGTCGCCTGTCGCTGTGGAACTCCGGAACGCGAACATGGCGACCCTTCTGGACCAGAAGGGTAAAAGGTGAATCACCACCCAAGATGAGTACCTTGTTTTTCATCGTCAAAAGGTGAATTTCGCCCATGCACCTCTGGAAGCTGCCTGCACAGCAATGAGAAACACTCATATATGTGTGAGGGCCTTGCCCCTGGCACCGGCACGGGCTGAGATTCCGGGCATCCAGAAAATAGGCGTGGGAGCCGCCCGGAGGGGCCTGTTTCGAAGGAAAGGGAATCTCCGTTTGTAAGAGCTGATTCCAAGGTGGGTATTCGGAAGAGAGATGTTGTGGTTTTTGTGACAGCATGTTGCATGAGGAATGGAGTGTCTTTGGGTGTCCCTCTCTCTGACACCCGCCACCGAGTGGCTTTGAAGATTCTCCACCCAACCTCCAGACAATGCATGGAGGCTTTCATGGGAGGTATGCGCAGCCCAAAGTGAACACATTAGAACCCTTTTGCCAACAGCCCTGACCGTTGTCAGGAAAAAAAGCAAAGAAGTTCCGCTTCTATCCTAGCAGCAGCAATCCTGCAGTCCGAAAAGACTTTAAAACTTAACCCTTTGATGCGTTGGAGGAAAACATGATGCTGCACTGATGCTGGAGTTAGACCAGTTGGTGTCTGCTGCACCGAGCTTCCCCACGCTGCTCAGCTCCTCCACTTTGGGCGGTTGAGAACCTCCAACGGCGTTGACCAAGCTGGATTCCGGGTGAAGGAGTTGTCGTGAAAAAAGATTGGATGAACGACATCCCTTCTTGCTGCCCAAAAGATCAGCATAAGCAATCACCCCCTGCTAGCTTGTGGAAGATGGGAAATTCCCAGTTGAACATGCCGAAATCAACGGCGTTCTCCCCAACGATGCGCGGTCGCCAAGCAGGCGTGACCAGCATTTCATGACCAGCCACATGCACATCATGGCGTTTTGTTCTTGTCTGGCAGCACTGTAGGAGTCATGAATCACACCCACGGTAGGGGTACAGCACGACTTGTTCCAGCACACCTATCTATATAGAATTGATGCCAAATGATTTGATGCCCAAAAAAGATCCTCACCCACAACCTGTGGTCCGCATGCCACAAAAGGACCCCGAGCTGCTCACCCAATTGAGAACGACCTCGCGGCTACCCCGCGCGCGCTGAGAGCGGGCGCGAGCGCGCAGCTCGCGCGGAGAGCTGGCCTTCTCTCCGGCTGCGCCTCGGTCACCGGGCGGTCGACCCCCCGGACCGGGTGCGTTGCTTCGGACGGTCGGGCCATTTGTGTCACTTGTTCTCGTTGGGCCATGGGTATGACGAAAAGGGATGTATATCATAAATGTCGCGACACAACGAAACGAACGATGTTCGATCCCGAGGCCCACGATTTCCAGGGAGGTGGACAGGGTCACCCTTGATCTTCAGGATCCTCCAATACGAAGCCAATAAACAAGACCTCCCACGTGTACAGCACCCATTCAGCTTTCCAAGTGCTGAATGTGTACGCAGCACTGGCCAATGTCCGGTTGTGAAAGGGGTCATTGCACTCCCTGAAATAGTCATGGAAGTGGATGGCACCTTGGCATTTCAGGACATCAATGCTCCTCCAAGGCCCCAGGACATGGGGTGCCATGCCATGCCATCCATTCACCGACTTTGTCGTGTGTGGTTGTTGTGGTTGTGGTTGTGGTTGTGGTTGTGGTTGTGGTTGTGGTTGTGGTTGTGGTTGTGGTTGTGGTTGTGGTTGTGGTTGT